AAGAACTCACTAAGGCTTCCGCATATCCTCTAAAATAGAGTGAGGAATCCGTGTGTCTAATAAGCTCATACTATAAGTTCGAAATGTAGGAGACTGATCAGCATAAGAATATAATCAGAGATCGAATATAAAATCCTGACACCCTGCTATAACGAATAACCGCCCGGCGGTCACGATGCAAATAATGCTGCCCTGAAACATCATCCTCCACTGATAGAGTCTCATTAGGTAAATTAACTAGCTCAAAAAATTCAACACCTGCAGTCTCATCAGTGCTAACAATAGGCTCAACAATATGCTTAACGAATTGAGAAATATTACATGTATCGCCCGAAATAAAGGGGACATCATTAGGGGGAGGAGAACGAGGGCGGCAAATATAAACCTGCAAAGGAGGAGAGACTGGTGATTCTATAATAACTGGGCTACCATGTGTAATTGGTGATTCTGTAGTAACAGTGACGAGTGTCTTTGGCTTTGGTGGTAAGAAAAAATCAAAGATAGTATCATCAACTGGAGAGGTAGACATGAGATTGGAAACAAAAAAATAAGGTATATGTTCAAGAAAGGTATATGTTCAACGAATAGCTTTATCATCAATCTTATGGCGAGTAGGAGACCGATTATGAACAAAACATGTATAGTCAAAGACGCGAGGAGGGACCGAAAAAAGTGTTCGCTCAGGAAATAAGACTTGTAAGGGATGCTTATGCTGAAGAATACGACCCGGTGTGCGATTGCACAAAAAGGTAGAAGTCAAAACAACAAAATGTCAATAAGACTTGGACAACCCCATACCTCTAAGCATAAAACGTACCATCCCTATCAGACTCTTATTTTTCCTTTCAGTAACTCTATTTTGCTCAGGAGAATATGGGCAGTTGAGTTGCTTAAGGATACTCTAGGAAGAAGATGAGACACTAAGTCATCAGACACATTCTTTGGTATTATCCGAACAAAGAGTACGAACAATGATATCGAATTGTGTTTTAATTATCTGTAGAAACTGAGTGATGACAAGGAGTACATATGACTTTCTATGCAAAAGTAGACCCAAGTACAACAGGTATGATAATCTATATATGTCACATAGTATCGGGTACCTGACGGAGCAGTAACAGGTAAGGGTTCTCAAATATTAGAGTGTATTGGGTCAAACGGCCTAAGAGACTGGTACATGCGAGGAATATAACTAGTCCTAACATGTATAGATAGTGAACATATAGCACAGTCAAGTTTACCACTAGTACAAACATTATTCAAAACAGGAAATATCATAACATAAATATTCAAAATTTGTAAGCTCAAAATGGTTATGCTACAACTGAATAGTGCGTGACGAAAAATCATAATGACAAGTATTAGGTAAAATACTAGCATGTAAGTTAGGAACAGATAAAGATAAAGCAGGTGCAGGTGGTGGAAGAACTAGAGGGGGATCGCCTAGATAGTATAGACCATCTCTCTCATCCCCTTTAATAATAATCCTCATGCTACTTAGGTTTTGCAAATAATACGAATCAGATAAGAACACGACCGCACAATAAAAATCTCTGATTAACTGATGTACAGAAAATAGATTCATGGCCAGTTTTGACGCATAAAAAATTAAATGTAATGCAAAGTCATCTGGAAGGCGAACTGTACCTCTACTAACAAATAAGGGCATGTGTCCTATCTGCTAACTAAATTTGTGTGTGTAACTGCTCATCGAATGTAGTGAAATGATGAGCCTTACTTGTCATATGACCATTCGCACCTGAGTCTGTCATCCAAAAGGGTGAAAGACCGTTGCAAGCATAAAAAGTACAAGGTATACCTGTAGTAGTCGCAACAGCAGTATTGAGATCCCGAGAAGTCATGACAGACATAAGCATATCCAATTTGGAAGTGATAGCATCTATATCACTCTATTAAAGAGGAGCAGTAATAGTTAGGGCATCAACAATAGGTGGTGGTCCCTCAGCAATAGCAGTAGTACAATCTCAAGGAGCATACTTAAGCTCAGTTTGGAGCTTCCAGCAAGCAATTCTGAGATGTTCTAGTTGGTCACAATAATCACACTGACGAAAATCACCTTGTTTACACAGGTCTGGGGCGTCCTATTGGCGTTTGTCTGGACGCAGTCCACTCTTGAGTGAGATCTTGCAGCAGTTGCAACAACTATTTAGTTAGCCTAAGGAATCAAGGTCGCAGTTGGAAGGGATGAAATATAGACGAGACGCTCATGCTGCTCAATCATGGAATACACCTCATAAAGAGAAGGAAGTCTCAACATCGATAAAATCTGGGAACGAGGTCCCTCAAACTTATCACAAAATCCTATAAGGAACTTGTGAATTCTATCATCCTGCTCTCGAGTATGTAGAAATGTCGTTGCTTTAGACTCTATCCTCGGAATAGTAGTAAGGGGACGTAGAGTCTTATACTCATGTCAGCACCGATTCAAATGCCATGGTAGTCCTGAACTGTCATATCTTTCTCTTGAGCATATGAGAGCTTCTGAGAAAACACATAAACATAAACTCTACGACCTGACTATGATATACATCTCATATAATGTGCGCCATAACTTCGAAACAGAGATATAAAATTGATGAATCTAACAAGTAGATGGCTCCATAGAGCCAAATAACCATCTAAGCATAGTGTAGCTTTCGGAGAACCACACAGAATATCCAGGATCGTCATCAGTTGGCTTTGGGTGCAATCTTGTTAGCTAATCAAGCTTCCCAATACACCCAAAGAAAAGTTAAAGTGAGCATAACCATTTAGCAAAGTTACGGCCATTCAATAACTTTGTTATATTCTTCTGAGAAATCATACTCAGCATTGCCGATAATGCAACTGTGCCAGTAGCTATTATATACTAGTTAAACATAAAGGTGAAAGGGGTAGTCCTTGCAGAGGTGGGTGGTACCTCCGACGTAGAATTACTAACGGTAGGGGTTTCAAGTTCCTTACTAGTAACCATAGCAACAATAATAATATGACAACCGTGATAGAAACTACTCTAAGATAAATAGAAAAAAATAAAGGAGAATAATATACCTCCAGGCGAACAATAGGGACAATTAAAAAAGGTCTAGAAAGGTCCCAAATAATAGGTCACGATACCAAGAAATCTAGAAAAAATATATAGGTGATTTATTGCATCAAAAGTAGATTAACGGAGGGGATCTGACCCCTCTTAAAAGTCCTTAGATGCTTCAACCCTAGGGGAAAGAAAAGCCAATAGCATTGGCTGTTGGAGAGAGGCGCGAAGAGGTGGTAGACTTGCGGTGCGGTGGTGGACTGGGGGTGCTGCTGCAAAGGAGGCTGTGAAGCTAGCTGTCACTGGCACTAGTGTTGGTGGTTGTTGCTAGCGCTGTGGCTATAGGACTAGTGGGTGGCATCGCCTAAGAGGTGTGTCAACTGGGGAAGGTGTGGAGATTGTGGGTGTGCGAGGTGGCGGGCAGTGGCAGCTAGGGTTAGGGTTAGGGTTTGGCTCTGATACCAACTAATTGTTTAAGAGTAAAAGGGATGCACAAACTGGGTGCAGAACCCTATATATATAGTCAAATAAGAGTGCAACTGATCAGAACACCCCTCTAGGCTGGGTAAGATGTAAACACTATAGTAACGGCAAAAAAGGCAAATAATAAAAAAATAATAATTAGACTATAATCCTAACAAGTTGTATGACTCGAAGGCCATTCTACAAATGAAGAGCTGAAAACAAAAGTCAAATAACATGGTTTGTCTTAAAATATCACCCATGAACTATTCATATAGCCTATGTGTAACTATTATTCGAAAGATCTAAATACTTTCAACTCTTAAAACCATACAAAATAAGCAAATTAGTACAACAACTTATAGCCTTTTAACTGACATGAAACTAGTCTTTGTGTAGACGCCAATGGTGCCTTTGTTGGTATTTTACGGATAGATTTTTTTTTTTTACTTTTTTGTTAAGTTTTTAGTTACTTCTAGGGAGTAAAAATATTGTAATAAGTTATATTATAATTGCTATATTATCTGTCTTATGTAATTGGATATATATGCATCTTTAAATTTAATCTGAAATTAGATGTTGAATTACGTTAGTTTTAGATATATATATTTATAATTTATGGATACATATTTACATGTTTTGTATTTTTAAATATCAAAAAAGTAGAAATTAAATACTAATGATGTAAATATTTACAATTTTTGTACTTCTAAATATGAAAATTTCAAAAACTTAATGCTAATTATAATATTTTTTGGTAACACTCTTATATTCCAATCTCACCATATTTAATGTGTTGGATGACTTAATTTTGGCGTATGATGCATAAATGTTATTGCTTATATTTTTGCATGAATATTTTTTTTCAGAATTTTGAGTCTTCTATCTAGTATTTTGTGTTTATTGGCCGATGTCATACCGTGATGATGCGACCCGATGTGTATTAATATCCTCCGAATTGACAACCAATAACACGACCTTGAGCCATGTTCTCCATCTTAAATTTTCTTTCTTTGACATTAATGTGCAGACTCGAGACTGTTACAAGATTTTGATGTGAACTGAAAATTTTCATACTCTTAAAGTGTGCAACCATTTTTTCCAAATGCTGATCTAGATCTAATTTGCAGTTAAGTCATGATTAGTTTTGGATTGAGACTTCACCTGTGCAAATGCTAAGAGCTTCATTCCATTGTAGCGAGACATTCTGACTTAAAACTTTTGCTTTATTGTGCGGCCTTACATGTGAATAGGGCATGCTTTGGGCTGTTAACCTTAGGAGAAACTTCATTTTTGTTTTGACATTGCCACAGCAGACACCTTGGGTTACTGTTTTAAGATCTTGAACGATTCTTAATTCGAAGAACAAAGCAGCTGAGTGGATTGCCTTATATTTTTATTTAATGATCATATGAATTCGCTCAGGTTCAACACCGATTTTATACCAAGAAATCTATGGATTATATATAAATGTGCATGTGTATATATATCAAATTATGATCACATGCAATTTGTGAAAGAAACTTGTGATAATTTCACTGTGCCTGATGTTCTATTGTGCATGATTTCTAGTGGGGGTACAGTTGCTGGTTTGGCTCTCGGATCATGGCTGAGTAAATTAAAAGCAAAAGTACACTTTCTTTTCTATTTTCTTCTCATCCGCTCTACATTTGAAAATTAGTTGCATCAGCTAACTGTCAAATGCGTCTTCTTCATTGTAGGTTCATGCATTCTGTGTATGCGATGACCCTGATTACTTCTATGACTATGTTCAATGCCTGCTTGATGGACTCCAAGCTGGCGTTTGCTCACGTGATATAGTTAACATTCAAAATGTGAGCACTTAATTCAATTAGGCAAGATCTATTTTTGTGAAAAACATCCTTTTCTTCCATGCCTTAGCATGTAATTGCTTGCAGCTCAATACTCAAAAGGGATATGATTTTATGTAATGTTGTTTATTTTGGCCACATGAATTTTCACTTTTCAGAAAGAATGTTTTACATGTACTTGTATTCCTTTTCGCATGTTTATTTTACGTTTCCCATTATGCTTATCCAGAGCTATATTGTTTGTACGTAAATACTTTGTCAGTTTGTGGAGCAATGCAATGTTGGATATTGGGCTTGGGGGAGATAGAGAAGGCAGGGCCATGCAATCGCTACCACTTTTTGTACTAACATAAGCTATGAATATCCCGAACTACATAGGCTTACTCACCTCTGTGTATTCCAAAAACGTAAGAGGCCACCCCTCCTATGTGTTAAGCTAGTTGTTTTACTTGTTTATCATTGGGGGTAGTCTAATCTTTTTGTTATTATAGGGTTTACTATATTTATCTGTTGTACCTCTTTTCCAATATTATTGCTTATTAGAACATATGGTAGATTTCCCTTCTTCTCTTATGAGCAAAGTTTGATCTATATTTTCATGGTATTAGAGCCACCGTTTTACACTTTGCTTGGTTCATCAATTTGCTGGATCGTATTTGATGATGCACAAAGTTGACTAGGCACAATCAAATCAGTCAAGTCTGTGGCGTAAAACAATGAATGATACGATTAATAATAAGAGACAAAGATTGTGTGGTTGGGTCTGGGTGACTTAACCACTAAAGATGGCAACGGTGGTCAGAGAATTCTATTAATGAGGGAGTATAAGATAATAGGAGAGAGAGAGCGCAAAAGTATGCTCAAGGTGAAGTCTATGTTTTGTGTAGGGGGTTTACAATTTATAGGCGTAGAGCTCTAGTTGAGGCGGTGACGTGATGGTCAAGATACTAGTTTATTGGAGAGGCTACCTACAATTAGGGATGAACACTATTTTGGAGTAATGACTATCTCGATGATTGCTCTCCCGCATGCATATCCAGACGATTACTCTCCCTCGTGTGTTGACTCTTGAGCTTCAGATTGAACTGAAGTCGTGGGTTAAGCATGACTTGTCTTTTGATGATTTGGGCTCAACCCACGAATTGGGCCCAGGCCTAGTCTGGATCTGGGCTCATCATTTGCCCTCCATGCCCCAAGCCCTAGTAGTGATATGGGGGTTAAGGGCTTGAGTGAGCTCCTTCATTTGGGTAGACCAAGGTATCTTGTTCCACATGGTGGCTTCTTCTCTTCAGCTTTCCTCTCCATTGTATTTTTTAAGCTTATTTCCCCATTTGGTAGCATCGTTGCTTGACACCCATGGTGCTAGCAAACTTTCATTGGATGTGCAAAGCTCTATTCTTTTACAGCAGAAATCCCTTTTCTCTTTTACGGTAACAAGCTTAGGGTTTTAGAGGGTTATATATTTAGATCCAAAAATGAGCTACCCATATTCATTTTTTTATTTCAAGACCCTTCTTTCCTGATTAGAGTTAGGGTAGTGCCATTCTCTTTCTTCCTTCCACAAGTAGCAGAGAGAGGATGAAGAGAAGTATACACTTCTGCACGAGGAGATGGAGATGCTTTGGCAAGTGGCACCTTGGAAAGGGAGAGAGGCTTGGGTGGCGCCATGGAGATGAACTTGGTGACGCCAGGGGAGGCATGAGACTGGGCGACGCTAGGGAGGGTGGCATCGGAGGGTTGGGAGACGTCGGAGCAAGGTTAGGTGGCGCTAGGGGCGATGCTTGAGAGCTAGGCAACACTAGGGGAGTTGCGAGGCTGGGCAACACCATGGAAGACTTAGGCAAACTGATGACATCTTCGATTTTTTGAAAATTCTCTCTTTCATTCAGACTCCACAGGTGATCCTATGGTTAATAAATCAATGCTGGAGGCTCTTAATGTCACTAGGATGACGACTTCCCCTCCTATTAAAAGAGCGATATTTGATGTCCCTAGTGCTTCCGAGCTAAGGCCTGATGACCTTATTGTTTCGCAGAAGGTAGGGGTCTGATGGTGTCCCCACTTCTTCTCAGTACTTGACCCCTTTGAATCCTTGGGTTAGTTCTAGGACTACTTTAGAGATCGACTCCTGTGTAGACTTCCAAGAGACCAGAGTTCTGCATAATTGTCCTGCTTTCAACAGTGGCCCAATGTCCATGTTGCAGGACACGAATTTGGCCAAAGAGTGGCTTAGGAGGTTTGTGACACCCTCGGATATTAGAAATGTCAGCTCTCGGAGTCCTGAGGGAATCATCGATACCGCGATAGAGGACTTTGTTATGGTACCCTTCTTTTCTGTGCAACCTTGTCTTTTGTGTGTTTTGGTCATATTGACATTCTTACTTTTGGATATTTGTAGATAGCTACGGCTTGTTTGTGCCTTTTTTTGAGGACGCTTAAACTCGATGAGGTATCGAGAGCCTTGGTGGAAGAGAGATGGACTCGCCAGGCTGTTGAGAAGCAGTTGAAGTTGGCTCCTGAAAGAGCAACACCTCTTGTACTCGAGCTTTTAGGAGACCAAGGTAGAGTTAGGCTGAACTTCTGGTAACTTGTGAGATAGACGCTAAGCTGGGGACTAAGGCTGCTTACGTGAGACCAAAGGTAGAGTGAAGCAGATCTTTTGGTGACTCGTGAGAGAGCTGCTAAGCTGGAGATTGAGGTTGTTTTCGTGAGAACAAAGACAAATTGAGGCTGAGTTTTTGGTGACTCGCGAGAGAGTGGCTAAGTTGGAGACTGAGGCTACTTGCGTGGGAGCAGAGACAGAGTTAGGTCGAGGTTTTGGTGACTTAGGAGTTAGGTCGAGGTGTTGGTGACTCAAGATGCTCTCTCCCAAGAGACGAAGAGGATGAGGGAGGTGGTAGTGGGGTTTCCAGAGGGTGCTGGTGGGACAGAGTCAGCGGAACATAGGAGTTGGACTCGGGAGGTGTGGGCGTCTGATATACCAAGAGGGGTGACGCCAGATGCTAAGGGTACTACTGGACGAGCTGGGCATGCGATGCGGGTGTGTTGAGCGTTGCGTGTGTGGGCATTGCGGGTGAGGTCGTGGGTTCCCCTAGCAGACGGGGGGCATTGGGCACGGGGCACGGTGGGCGATGGCATGGGCAAGGGTGCCACTGGCGAAGGGCGCCACAGACTAGGGCGCTCGGTGTTGGGCAAGGGCACTGGGCGCTTGTGAGGGCGCTATGGGTGATTACGAGGGCGTCGAAAGCGAGGGTAAGGGCGTTGGGTGCCGCGGTTGGTTTTGCACTTATTTGATTTTTTTCGTCTTGGTGATTAGGAAATTATGGTCATTGTAGTGGCTTTGGTTTTCCCTTTCATCTTCTTAAAAAGGAGGGCCACCAACATAGGAGGACGGAACAGGCACACGTGGATGTGGGAGCCGTGGCTGTCACACCCCAACTCCAAAGGCATGACTGGCGGTGAACCATAAATATATAACCTATGGAACACCAAGCCTAACAATAAACTAATAATGTACGAGTGAAAAATAACATTAGCACTAAATTGATCTCATGTTAATATGTCAAAGTCAACATTCCTAAACCTGTTTGTCCTAATTATCCAAATAAGTAAAGAGGGCTATACAATATATGTTACGGAGGTCACAACACTATTAGTCTCCAATCAATTCCCTGAGTCCCCTATTGACACTCCAATCGTTTATCTAAAAAAAATATTATTTTGAAAACATGAGCTAAAAAACACATTGAATAGAAATGCATGCATATTCAAAGTAGCTAAAAAACATATTTGGCATACGACATGTAAATCAAAGGTTTAGAAAAATAACTTCATCAAGATATTCAATCTCTCAAGAATAACAGTCGGATTCCAACAAGAAATCATACCACAATGGTGAATCATAACATAATAGTAGAGATTGTACGATGTCCAATAATCGATGGGAACCAAATACCAAATACAATAACTGATAACAAGAAAATAAGTATGACATACATAGATAATCATAAACAAAGCCAGTAAAAATGTTGTGATAATAACAAATTATATCATCATGTCATGCCGGTAAGGACTTGTACGATATCTGGGAACCATACCAAATGCCTGAAGATCTCAAGGTTAGATCCAACACCGTACTTAGGGTCACCACGGGTTGTCGCCCGGGAACTATTCCCTAAGACGATCCGGTGAAGGTCACCAGGAACTGTTCCTTCAACTGTTGAGCACTAGGGTCACCTCAGTCTCTCCTGGGTCTGTTCCCTAGTGGTCAAGGTCACCCGCACACAGAGGAATAATTTTCCTGGACTTTTAACCAAATGCCATAATATATCTCAAGGTTGGATTTAACATTGTACTTATGGTCACCACAGCCTCTCTCAAGTCTGTTCCCTAAGACGATCCGGTGAAGGTCAACAGGACGCACCAGGCATTGTTCCTTCAACCGTTGAGCACTAGGGTCACCTCAGCCTCCCCCGGGTCTGTTCCCTAGTGGCCAGAGTCACCCGCACACAAAAGAATAATTTTCTGAACTTTCAATCATGGTCCTATTAACTATCACAAAGTCTCACCATATAAATAAGTGATTAAGTCACAATACTTCACAAAAGTATTCATTAAGGTAAGGAGAATCGTATACCACAAGTATTTAGACACTTAGTAAAACATTTTGTAAAGGTAGTAATGAACAAGCATTATGTATCATTTTTAAAATGTTTAGGGATACAGGAAAGATACGTAGCATGTCAATCCACTCACCTCAAGTCCAAAGAGAATGATATGCTTCTTGAGTGTTGCTTATTATTCGAAGTAGAGTGAGATGTTATTGATGCCTTTTCTTTTTTCTTTCTCACAATTTCCTCTGATGAAGTGCTCTTCCTTCTTCTCTCTTTTACTCTCTATTCTTTCTTGAAAGTGAAAGACTACTTATGCCCTAGTATCCTTAATCCAATCCACAAATGCCCTATTTATAGGCATCCTAGGATTATTCTAGAGAATATTAACATGTGACATTTTTAGGGGAGATTTCCTGGAATATTCTGCCATCTCCCCTCTCCAAGATCCTTCTAGGTTTTCAACTTATTTTGCAGATGGCAATTCCACAAGCATCTAGATTCATTTATAATATTCTAAAGTCTTCTCCAACCTTCTAAATCCTTCTGAAACTTTTTGGAACATTCTAAATCCCTCTAGAACTTTCTAGTATTTCCTAAAATCTTTTAAAATATTCTCGACTTCTCCAGATTGTTCTAGAACATTTTTATTGTTCTAGAACATTTTTATTGTTCTAGAAACTTCTTCAACATTCTAGATTCTTCTAGATTGTTCTAGACTATTCTAGGTTATTCTTGAACTTTCTAGAATCTTCTAGACTGTTGTACATTTTTCTAGAAACTTCTCAAGATTATTCTAGACTATTCTAAATTTTTCTTTAAAATTTTTTTTATTCCTTACAAGATAATATTTCTAACTAGTTTTTTGCCAAATTGGAACGGGGTATTACAGTAGCACCTTGGTGTAGAGGAGGGGTGCCCTGGCGATGCAAGGGGCTCCTTGACGCTGTTGTGGAGCGCCCTGCCGGGCACTGGTACTTTGGCGACCTAGGCTAGGTGCGTGGAGTGCTTCTCCTCTTAGATGTTAGGGCATGACTCCTTGAGGGTGCCTGACGAGCATCAACCAGCTGTTGCATGGTCTCCAACAGTTGTTCAGATTGAGGGACGGGGTTCGCCGATAGTGGTGGGACCTCCTGGTGGCGGGTCATCTTTCGCTTGGTGGTTCATGGATCTTGTTGTGATTGTCATTGGACGTAGGAAGTTGACTGATGATACACAAAGTTGGCTAGGCACAATTAAATCAGTCGAGTGTGGTGTAAAACAATTAAATGAAACAATTAATAACAATAGGCAAAGATTGGGTGGTTGGGTCTAACCACGGAAGGCCGCAACGGTGGCCAGAGAATTCTATTAATGAGAGGGTGCAAGGTAGTATAAGGGAGAGAACACAAACGCATTCTTAAGGTGAAGTCTGTGTGTTTTGTGTAGGCAAGGATCAAAATATCGTTTCGAAATGTCTGAAACGTTTTCGTTTCTAAGGAGACCGAAACGAAACAGTGATGGAATCGAAATTCTGATATTTGAGGTATTCCATAATATTTTTAAATGTATTATAATATTTCAATACATTTGCACAATTGTTTTGTAATGTTTCAAGATATTTCAAAATACTTTGATATATTTTCATCAATGTTTTAGAAAAATAATTCTTAAATTTTTTATTTTGTTCATTATGTTTCCGAAATGGGTTGAAACGTTTCCGTTTTCTAGGTGACCGAAACAATACATCGAAACGATATTTTGATCCTTGTATGTAGGGGGTTTACAACTTATGGGTACAAAACCCTAATTGAGGTGGTAACGTGAGGGTCAATATACTAGTTTATCGGGAAGACTAGCTACAATTAGGGATAGACACTATCTTAGAGTAATGGCTATCCCAATGATTACTTTCTCAGGTGCGTATCTCGACAATTGTTCTCAGTCGTACTTTTGAGTTTCGAATTGAACTGAAGTCGTGGGCTAAGCCTGACCAGTCTTTTGATAATTTGGGTTCAACCCATGAACTAAATCTAGGCTCGTTAGTATTAATTTTTACTGATTGATGTTTCTCCTCTTTGTCATCACTGTTGTTGCTATTGTTTTGCTACAATCATCATTGCTAGTTATTGTTGCTGAAGAGTTGTTCCAAGCCACAGGTTTTGACCTTTAAGAACTAAACCAGACTTGATTTACTGTGTTGAAGAAGTTTGCTGGGAACAAAAGTTGCGTAAATAGAAGCTGTGAGTTAGACTTTATCTGATAGGCCTAGAAAGTCAAAACTAAATTATTTGGACAGGAGTTTGCTTGGAACCAAAGTTTGCTAGTTCACCATTGATGCTGACCGACAAAAGTGGTGAGGTGATGAATTGAAAGGGGGAGCAGCTCGGGCCTAGCGCATAGGAGTCTGCTGATCTGCTGGCCATGGGAACTAATAATTTGAAGATGTAACCCTTATTTGATGCGTATCAAAATTAACCCCTAAGCTTTAGTAAATAAAAAAATTTGCCCTTTCAGTTTCCAAGAATTATAGAATCAACCCTCAAGTTTCTAGAAATTACAGAATTGACCCTAATATTTCCTGAAATTACAGAATTAGCCTTGGAATTTTTCTTAATTTACAGAATTGATGCTAAAGTTTCTAGAAGTTGCAGAATTGACCCCAATATTTCCAAAAATTGTAGAATTAGCTTCAAAATATTTCTAAAATTTCAAAATAATCCCTAAAAGTTCAAAATAATTTCCTAAGTCCCAAAACTTTTAAAATTGTAGCAATTTTTTAGATTAAGCTTTGGTTATGGCAACTAGATATGCAATTGTTACACCATTTGTAGATGATTAGTCCCATTCTCTCCCTTCTGTGACTTTCACCAAGGAGCAGTTGTAGGAACGTCTTTCTGCACATCAGACGATGTTCTGTATGTTTTTTCTTCTATAGGTTTGTCTTCATCACCACCTTTTGGTATATCTCATTCTGATGGGGTGTTTGATTCAAGTGCTACACATCATATGATCTATGAAGCACGAAGCACGGACACTCAATTTTGGCTCATGTATCTGTGTCCGACACATCTGGGACACAGACAAGTTCAAGACATGTGTCGGACACGGTAATTAGAGTGTCCAATTTTATTTTTTTAATTTTTCAAATTCGGACACACAATGGACATGTTTGGACATGCAATTGACGCGTTTAAGGGTCATATTTGTAATTTTAAAATTAAAATATGCGTCTTGTAGTTATTTAAAAGTGGAAGGGACAGAAAATAAAAATCCCAAGGGCTAGGAATTAAAAAAGAAACATGTATATCTTATTCTCTCTTTGTGAGATAACAGAATTGATTAAGATAAAAAAAAGAAGAAAACACAGAGGCGATGTTCTAGGCTTCTCTGTCAGGCCAAGAGAGGAGAGTCCAACCACTCTGATAACTTTTGTTCACTCCGACGACATTTCTTTTCTCTAGCAAGTCGACATGAGAGATTCAACATTTTTTATTCTCGGTTTGGGCAATTTTTCAACATCCAGCAGATTTCTGCGTCACAGATAACCTTCAATCTAAATTACCCATGATATTTTCTTCTTATTTACACCATCTTTTTTTAATAAAATGTGATTCTTAACTCTCTTTAGGCTTCTCGTGTTAGGATTTTTGGTTAGGGTTTAACAGGTTTTAAACCCTAACAGGAAAAACAAAATTGACATTTTTTTTTTCATTCTATTTTTCTAGCAATGCCTAATATTTTGTTTTTCATTCTATTTGTCTGGCCCAATTACTCAACCCTAAACTTGTAATTTCTTCTTAGTTTTTTTGTCCGTCTGCAATTTTTTTTTTCAGTTTTTGATGATGCTACCTTGTAGTATTTGCTTTTCAACCCTACTATTTGTTTTTTGTTTGTTGTTTGTTGTTTTATTCCTCTATGCTGCTTTTTTTTGTCTGCTATTGTAATTTCTGTTTTTCCTTCTATTCTTCTACTGTTTTATTCCAGTATGAGCTGCTGCAACTCTGTTATTTTATTCCTGTATGCTACTGTTTTTTGTCTGCTATTGTAATTTCTATTTTTCCTTTTATTTTTTTGGCCTTATTTAGAATTGAAGAAAATGAGTTCTGTGGGGTGCTAGCAGTGCACCATCTACTGAAGAAGACATAAGTAAACCTCTTTGGAGATGCGTTATAAGATTCAAGAAGTTGAGTGATGGTGGGAAAAATTTTTCTTGGCAATGTAATTTTTGCAACCAAACTAAGAAAAGCTCATACACAAGTGTATGAGCTCATTTATTGAAATTGCTTGGTCATGGGATTGGAGCATGTCATAAAGTTACAAGTCAAGATATTGTAGATATGAAAAAATTAGAGGATGAAGCCAATGAAAGGTCGAGGAAAGTTGCACCGAAGAAAGTACCATTGCCTCCTAGTGTGTCATTTGGGGATCATTTGGATAGCTTTGATGAAGGGGGGTTATGACTCAAAGAAAAGAAAGGCGACTACAAGTGGAAGTATTTCGCGGCGGGCCATCTCATTGAAGGGATATATTCTAATATTTTTTGGACACTGTGTGGATTACACACTTAACCTTGCTTTGCAAAATATTTGTGTGGCAAATAATGTTGAAAATAATTAAGTAACCTTTAATGAGTGTTCTTGGATTACAGATATTGTGGATGATATTGTTTTTATTAAGACTTTCATCATGAATCATTCCATGAAATTGACAATGTTAAATGAATTTGTCCCTTTGAAATTGCTGTCTATTGCAAGTACACGTTCTGCCTTGGTGCTGGTAATGCCTAAAAGATTTAAGCTCATAAAAGGTTCTCTTCAATGAGAGGTGGAGTAATTATAGATAAGATGATGCGGAAAAAGCTAAGTTTATGAAAGAGAAGGTGTTAGATAACATTTGATGGTACTCTATTGATTACATACTTGCATTTACAACTCCTATATATGATATGCTTAGGGCTTGTGATACGGACAAGCCTTGTCCTCACTTGGTATATGACATGTGAAATACAATGTTAGAAAAAGTGAGGATTGTAATATATAGGCATGAAGGAAAGGGGGTGGAGGAGTCATTCACATTTTATGATGTGGTACACAAAATTCTTGTTGATCGTTGGAATAAAAACAACACTCCCCTCCACTACCTTGCCTATTCATTGAATCCAAGGTGATTTTTAATTTTTAAAATTTTTTTCCCTCTTAATCATGCTGTACTTCTTACTTCTTTCTTCTTTTCTCTTATTTAAGGTACTATAGTGATCAATGGCTTCATGAGGATCCTACTTGAGTTCCCCCGCACAAAGATATGGAGGTTTCTCTAGAAAGAGTGAAATGCATAAAAAAAAAAATTTCTAATTCGGAGGATCGTGTAAAGATACATGAGAAATTTGACAATTTCTCAACGAAGTCTAGAGAGTATGGAGATATTGACTCAATCCATGATCACTTGATGAATTGGAGTTAGAGGTCATGGTCTTTAGTGAGGATGGTAATAGAGGAGGTAGTGGTGCTCGTGGTGGTGGTGGTGGTAGTGGTAGTGGTAGTGGTAGTGGTAGTTGTAGTGGACCTAGTGGTGGTGAGGCAATTGAAGTTTAATGATTTTGATTGAAATGGGACCTTTTATTTGAATAAGATGAACAATGTTTTTATTTTTGGTATATTTTTAAAGGTTTCTAGTATTGGATGCTTATTATTTTGATGTAAGAAGTTGAACTGTGAATGTTGGATGATTAAATGGAACAAAAAATATTTTTGTTATACTCACTGTTATATAATGACTTTGCTATTTAATGATAATGTGGTGGTTTGGATATTTTAATATCTAATTTGATCCAAAAATGTTGGGTTTTATTATATAGGCTTATAAAATATATTTTTGAATATATTTATTCAACGTGTCTTTGATGTGTACGTGTTCTAATTTTTTGAAAAATTACGTATCTGCGTATCCGAGTCGTGTCATGTTCGTGCCCTGTGTCCATGTCCGTGCTTTATATTATATGATTAATGATTC